GAATTTGGAATTCACCACTCCTCATCTATCTATGCTTATTAATTGATCTTCTGATTTCTTAAGCTAATAATTATTCTCTTCCAAGATACAAAAGTGTACTTTAACTAAAAATAAACTCATGCTTCCAGCTATTTAATTAATGAAAACCCATTAGTTTGATGAAATCTTCGAAATAATGCAGCTTATGTCCAAGTTAAAATTCTTAAGTCCAACTATTATTATTTATTGAAGGCTTGATCTTCTAGGTTCCAAAATTCTTCTTAATCTTCTAGCTGTTTTTATCTCCTTTAAGCAATAGTTGAGGAACTCTTTTCAATTCCTCCCTTTCTCTTGGCTCAAGACCCCCTTTTTATACAAGTTTTTACCATAAAATTTCCCAAATAGGATTAGGACTAGATAGGAAGCTTCAAAACTCCTTATCTAAGATGGAAAATAGCTGAATAGGAAGAATACATTAACTTTAGCAAGCCTTTGTCTTGTGTAAGTCATGTGAAACAGGACCTGGCCTTGGTGGATTTCAGATAGGTAAGCCACACGCCATTTTCGGCGAGGCTAGGCCTTGTAATTATAACTTTAACATGACAATGCCTTATTACTTCATACCCCAAGCACCATATTTCAGCTTTTTATGTCCTAAACAATATAATAAAAAATGGATTTAAACAAGTGAGAAATGAATAATTCATAGAAAATTTAACTAAAGTATTACTAAAACACCATAATTTAGCATAAAACATTAATGAATTAAATAAAAATATGGCAATTTAATTATTCATCAGTAGGTTTAGAGAGCAGCAATAGAATCAGCGGATGATCGTGATCCGCATCAATTTGAGAATTACAAACTAATTTTGGATAAAAGATCTTATAATATTTATGATTTATGCAAAAGAGATTGTAGAGATTTTGTATAAGTTTATATATCGGAAAACTTTAAATAGCTTATGAATGGATAATATTTATTATGCTTATGAGTAATGGATTGACTAAACTTTGAAAGTGATATGTGACGTTTGATTTGACTAATTGAATGTAGTTATTGCATGTTAGTAGTGTTATTTTGTAAGTTCAAATTATAATCAAGATGAGATCTTGATTGGTTTTCTCTCTTTTGCAAGGATTGAAATTAAGAAATTAAAGAGATTGAGCAATAGTTTCTCAATTTAAACCTTTCTTCATTTTTCATCTTCTATACTAGAGTACTGATGATCATGGTTAGGCAACTAAGATGAGATCACAAGCTCGTTTTGGAAGAGTAGATTGCTTATTTTAATTATCAAGTGTGGACAACCTAGATGCATCACGGTGGAGGTGTTTGAAAAGCTCGAGAGTTAAGATTGAAGAGATCTTGCCAAAGTTGAACACTGCAGTTTGGATCACCCAAACTCACTTTGAGCCACCCAAATTGTCATAATTAAAGAAATGAAGCTCCTATTAGGCTACCAAAACTCACTTTCGGCTCCAAATTGGCTGAGAAAGCATAAAAGGCTTGGTCTCAAGCACGCTTCAAGTGTCTCCTTTAGTTGAGCAAAAATATTTTTCTAAAAAAAGCAATTTATGCTCTCATCAGATCCTCTAACTTCCACGGCGGCATAGGACATCCACCTCTACATTTTCCTTTATTAATATATATATATATATATATATAATAGGAATCCACCTCTAATTGTCTCCTTTATTATATAATATATATATAATATATAATATACGTTGCCTAGCCTCCTCCGTATCTAACATTTTATTTTTACTCAAGTCTCTGATGTCGTCTAAACATGATTTGAACTCTTTGCTAGGGGATCTAAAACGCCTAAACTATGAATTCCTCAATTTTAATTGAGCAAAATGCTCCATGTCTCCGCAAAATTTTTAATATTTGAAAACAAAGATCTACCGTTTGAACCTTTGTCCACAACAAGGGATATTAATCTTCCATCAAACAGGAAGTTCAATACTATTAGTTCTACACCACGAGGGAGTAATTATTAGCATTAGTGCCCAGAATTTGTAGGGAATAGAATCTTTGAGGTCCTAACGATTCTAGGCCTCCTTAACTATTCATTCGCATGGTTTTTTAAGAACTTAATTTATTCATGCCTTGGATTTTAAATCGTCAAACATATGATTCATCTCGTGCATAGCCTTCTTGCAAATGGTTGCATTCTAAGGAATTATTTTTCCTTTTCTCTTTTGGCAACTTTGGCTAGATAAGCTCTTCACCATCTGTTCCATTGCCTCTTTTTAGTAGCATCCTTTCTTTGCTCTTGGGCTTGTAACACATTAGTCAATCTGATAAAATTAATTTTAGTAATCGTCTCTATATATATATATATATATATATACGGTTGCCTAGCACTCCCTCTCGTATCTAACATTTTATTTTTACTCAAGTCTCTGATTCGTTAAAATGATTGAACTCTTTGCATAGGGATCTAAAACGCCTAAACTATGAATTCCTCAATTTTAATTGACAAATGACTCCCATTCTCCAAAAATTTATTATTTGAAAACAAAGATCCTACGTTTGAACCTTTGTCCACAACAAGGATATTAATCTTTCCATCAAAAGGAATTCATACTATTAGTTATACACGAGGGAGTATTATTAGATTAGTGTCAAAATTTGTAGGGAATAGAATTTTGAGGTCCCTAAGATTTAGCCTACTTAACTAATTCATCCCCATGTTTTTTAAGAACTAATTTATTCATCCTTGGATTTTCACTTCGTCAAACAATATGATTCATCTTCGTGACCATGCTTCTTGCAATGGTTGCACTAAGGAATTTTTCTTTTCTCTTTGCAACTTTGGCTAGATAAGCTCCTTCAACCATCTGTTCCATTGCCTCTTTTCTAGTAGCTCTTCTTTGCTCTTGGGCTTGTAAAACATTAGTCAATTCTGATAAAATTATTTCAGTAATGTCTCTTGAATCTTCAAGAGATGAAAGTTTTGCCTCAAATCTTTCAAGTAAACTTATAAGCATCTTCTCTATTATTCAATCTTAGAGTCTCTCAAGGATCTAAAGCTCTGATACCATATTGAAATTTTAAATTTGAAAAACATAACATTTTATTCATATAAATTGACAATTTATTGTGCCCTTAGATACACTATACCTAGAAACAGAAAATCCCTAAAAATTAGTCAACTATCCCATTCACATTAATATTACTAACAAATAGGAGAAAAATAATATACTAATAAAACAGATTCTTGCTTCGGTTTTAAGATTTGGTAAAAAGGATTTGTGATTTGAAATCGGATTTACAAATTGAGAATTTTCGAATTTGCTATAATTAGTTAGCATTCTTAGAAATTATCACCTTGTAAATTTAGATTAACTTGACAGTAGATCTATTGAATTTTTGGCAAAGTTTTAATTTTTCGCAGCAACAGATGGTAGCAAGGTGTTAAAGAAACAGAAAATCTAGTTTAGTTAGTATATTATAATTGTATAATTTGATTTTTCTTTTAGGAAAAAGGTTGAATTTGCATCATGAACTTGGGCCAAATATACAAAAATCTACAAACAAACTTTTGGATTAAAATCCATGAACTTGGACATTTTATTATCACTTTAGCCCAATTTTTCAGTAAAGATTTACGTGTGTACGCGGGCAATGATAAGAAATAAATGAATTAAAAATTATTTTTCTCTAATAAATACATCTCCTTAGCCAAAATAATTAAATTTAAACTAAAATCTCTAAATCTATCATCTGCAAAATGAAATCTACTGAGTTGGAGAAGGAAAGCGAGAAAGTAGAAGAAAGATAAGTTATGCTAGTTGAGTTTGGAGAACAGGTAATTATCGAAGCAATCCAACTCGCGGCTATAGTAGACTATAAGGGAGCGAGTCATACTGTGGTTATAGATTGAAGGCTCCTTGTTGGATTTCTTAGAGCGAGAAGAACACATGTAGAAGATTTTATTCCTGCAGATTCCTATAGGTAAATGCAACTTTATTTTTGCTGTTAATCAACTTCTTTTGTCATTGATTTATCAATAAGCAAGTGCTATGTATCATACCCTTTTCAATCTCCGTTTATCATCCTTTTGTTCTTGAATCTTTATTAAAAAAAAATTTTTTGGTTTTTCAGCTAAAAGTGATGTTACTTCTTTGAATGGCACGACGAAAAAATGGACCAAAAAGCTGTAGATGTGATTAATAAGCTGAAGACCTAATCAAATCTAAATACCTCCTTCCCTACCATGCATCAAAAGTTTATTATGAAATCCTAATTCAAGAAGCATGGATGGGAAAATGGGATCATTAATAATGGAGTTGAGATAACAAAGGGAGGAGTATGAAAGGGTAAAGGAGCATGAAAATGTAACTATTTCGTTTATGGAATAAAAAATTGCTGCAAAATTTGAAATTGCCATATTGTTTCTTCAAAACTTTATTTAGTGTTGCATAATTATTTGATCACTAAATATGACACGTGACAGGTTATGAATCCATCAACTATTTATTCTGTTTCAGATATTAATTCATGAAAAATAACTTCCAACTTTCCTTATTTTGGCTGAGATGTTGCTGTTACTATTTACTCGAGTTAAAATAATTTTTAACTCATTTATTTTTTATTGTTGACTGCCTACTCTTTAGTGAAAAATTGAACTAAGTGATAATAAAATGTCAAATTCTTGGGTTTTTTTATTCAAAAGTTCATTTCTGAAGTTTTTGTACATTTGATCCAAATTTAGGGTGCAACTTGAACTTTTTTTTTCTTTTTTTTTCAATTAATGGCTAAATATTTTAATTCTTAAAAAAGGCCAAATATATAACAGTAAAAGATTGAGAAATACTGAGACATTTTAGTCTTTGCACAATGACTTAACGACAAAACCGCCACTTATCGGACAGATGGACATTGTTTAACCAAGTAAAAATTCAAGGATGAGTACCTTGCTTCTTAAAAATATAGGGATAAAGTAGTTAATTAGATCAAACGTTAGAGACCTTAAAATTTTTTTTCCCAAAATTTTACAATATGGTAATTTACTAATTATTGGAATGCAGGAATAGTTTCATTTATCACCAGCCTCTGTTTGGATGAGAACAAGAAAATAAGACTAAAATGTATTTTAACAGTAGTCAAAAGACATTTTCCTCAAATTTTTCTTCCTTCTCGAACAGAGCCTAAAGAATAATATGTATAGCATGCAAAGATGAAAATGGTAAAATCAAGAAACTAAACTTGGGTACGATATTGCGCTCGACGATGTGCCTGATTCAGTAACCACAAAAGTTGTATATCTTTCTGACCTTATATGGTGCAACCTGACCTTATATCCCTTCGAGTTGAACCATATATGACATAGTGATTTGCCCATTACAGTCTAGAGCTTAGGTAGCGCCTGAGTTCCCTTCGGAGGATCTTTCCAGCTGCAGACTTTGGTATTGATTGCACAAATATCACCTTTCTGACCTTCTTATATGGTGCAACCTGACAAGAGAAACTAGTCAGCTCAGTGTTTGCTCATCATACAAAGAGCCAAGGCAAATATTACAGCACTCAGCTAAAAATTATGTGCGATGTGGGTTTATGTTTCTAGGTTATGTACTTCTAATAGTCTCAGAGCAGACTGAAATACCTGATCTGCAACGCAGTCAAATATGGCTCTTTCCGTTAGCATACTTCCTTGCCTCTTGACCACAAACGCCACAGGGATTTCCCCACATTCTTTATCAATGGCACTAAAAATTTATATTTGATAATAAGTCATGAAAATATATTAATGTAATCATTCATGAAATACATGAGCAGTGTAGTAGCACTTTGAAGATCAACATCAGGAACTGCTAGGCGGTTCAAAGAAAACCATAGTCCATCTATTTCTTATGGTGAATTAGGCTACACCTATAGACAATTTATTTTAGAGTTTAGATACAAAACATTTCAGCTCGGGTAGGATGAAGCAAACCATGTAAGGCAAGATGCAATCTGCTAACTCCCACTTATTTAAGTCGATGCCATTTGGAAATTGTCAAATTCAATTCCAACTGCCTTGTTTTTTAAGCAGTAGAGTGAGTGAAGTTTTCAACTCACCCTGTTACTGCAGCATCAAGTATATCAGGATGGGAAATCAATACAGCCTCTAGATCAGCAGGAGCAATCTGTAAAAAGGCACAAACTGCCACAAATCACTAAATCATTCAAAAGTGAGTTTAATTTAAATACATTTTAGATGCTTCCGGCTTACTTCGGTGATAGTATACTCTTTCTCCCATTGAGGAGACTCGACTCAAAATAAAATTCTTATTTAAAAAAAGAAGTCAATTGAGTTTCAAACTACGATTGTCTAGAGGACAAAACTTATTAATTAACAACTTTCATCCGAACAAAGGCTAATACTTCTCTTAAATTGACACTTCAACCGACCACATTTGATAGTATACAATGGTGAACTCATACCTGAAAACCCTTGTACTTGATTATTTCTTTTAAACGATCAATTATATGCAAGTACCCATCACAGTCAATATATACAATGTCTCCAGTATGTAGCCAACCATCTTTGTCGATTGTAGATGCTGTTGCCTTGCGATCATTCAAGTATTCTGAAAATGTGAAGCAAACAAAACTGGTATAAATACAAAAAGAAAATGCATTTCATTATTGTGCAATAATGGGATAGAATAGAAGACAAGGTGACGACAATGAGAGTTTACTGTGATGTCAAATAAGAAATTTCATCTTGAATATGATTGCTGTGGCGACAAATGAAAATCAAGTGTGTAATTCATTCTTCAATGAAATGAATGAATGAGACATTATGTACAAAGGACGGTTTTGCACTAAATTTCAGCAAGTAGGCAAATGCATCATTGGACCTTGAAGTCAACAAAAAGGTAAACTATTTAGGTGTAAAAAAGTAAAGAGAAATGGTAACACATGTTTGACTTCGACAAATCAAATATTAAAATAGTATATCTAAGTAAATCAATGATAAAACAATATAAAAACACTCATGGAAGTGAAATTGAGAAGTTACCACGAAATGTCCCATGGCAAAGATGCATGCTCATAGGATCTAATAGAAAGATAGTTTGCTTGAAAACCAAATAAACTTGTGTACTAGACATGCAGATTGCTGTCCAATATCAGTACGTGTACTTAAGAGTCTTCTCACATGAATTCGAAATGTTTCTAGGATGACAATACCTGAAGGGTTTCTAAAAGCTTTGAAATTTATCACCTTTCATAATTGCAGGCCCTCGAATCAAAAGCTCACCACTACAACCAGGAGGCAAGTAATAACCAGTGATCCAATCCATCAATTTAGCTTCTGTGTTTGGAGCCAAAAGTCCTATAGAAGAGTATTTTTGGCAGTGTTTGGTATTGAAGCCACGGGTTCCTACTGCAGTTGACTCGGTCATGCCATAGCCCTATAAGAAAAAAAAAATTCAGAGCACAGCATTTTTAGAAATTGGAGGGGCCAACATTACCCACTAAACAAAGAAATGCTCTATGCACATCTCAATGTTAGAACCCTAACCCCCCAACTAGGTTGTAAACTAGGTAAGAGAATATTGACATGAGAGGAGACAGATTAATAGATCAACCAAAAAGGGTGATTTCTGGTTACACAACCATGAAAATAAGTACCAGGAACTGATTTGAAAACTGAGTATTGCAGCCCTAATTATAGCATAAAACAAGGTCCTGAACATAAAATCATTACAAAATTAGGTTCAGGCTCTAAAAACATTGTAATTTTAGATGAAAAAAAATTAAATAATTAAAAGATTAAGAAAACACATAAACAATTCTAGTTTGAAAGCTTCTAGATGTGTGAATAATAATGTGCTACAGGATCGTCAACAGTAAGTTGAAAAGATTCTTAACATTTTGCTCACACATAATAATGCCTCGATTATTGAAGAACTCAACTTAGGAATAATGAATAGGAAACCCTAATTTCTGGCTAAGGAAACAATTCCACAATTATGTGCAAAGTTCAAGTACATTTGTCCAGCAGCTGCCTTAAGAACTATCATATGCAGGTGAGAAAATTAATATGCCACATAGAATATAACAACTAATCACTTCCTAGCTAAAAAGAAATGAAAATTCCAAAAGAAAGTAAAACAGAGAACCTAATCCTGAGTCTACAACAGAACAAAGCAGTTATCTACCTGAATAAAATCAACAAAAGGAAAAGTTTCCACAAAATCCTGTATAGTTTTTTGATACAAAGGAGCCGCCCCACATGAAACCTGCTTCAAACTCCTAAAGCCATTTGCAGAAACGCTCTTTGCTTTCTTTATCAATGTTTGAAGTATTGGCGGTACAACAGGAAAGTGAGTAACCCCATATCTATCAATCGCCTTCACCATCTCATTGGCATCAAATTTCCTCATCACAACAATTCCAGAGCCCAATGAGAACAACCCCATCACAAAAAGGGACAAACCATACACATGAAACATTGGCAGGGCAGCTAAATAAACATTATCAGAAGCTGAATATTCATACTGTGAAGCCTCAAACCTCACAAAATGCTCAATCACAGAAATAAAATTCCTATGCGTTAGAACAACTCCTTTGCTAGCACCAGTAGTGCCTGATGAATATAAAATCGCTGCCGGATCTTCCTGCCTAATCACCGACCTCACACTCAAATCAAAGTTAACATTAACATTACCATAAACTAGGTTGTAAAAAACTTGAAACTCGCTTTTTTCCTTTATCAAAGTAGGATGCTCTGGTACGCTTACAATAGGGATTCCCAATGAGTGTAATTTGCTAGATTTTTCAAAGAGAGAAAAAGCTATACATGCCTTACAATGAACAATTTGCTTCTGAATTTCTAATATAGTACTGAGCGGATTCATAGTAGTGACAATTGCACCCAAATACAGAACACCCAAGAAAAGAATGGGAAAATAAATGGTATTGGGCAACAAAAGCAAGACAACATCACCTTTTTTAATACCAAAGCTTCTTTGGAGACCAGAAGCCATGGATTTAACCAAAGGAAAGAGGTCTGAGTAAGAGAATGAAAACCCAGATGAAGAATCGATAAGAGCTGTAAGACCATTGTGTTTCTGCGAGAAAATGAAAGAAACAACATCGAGAAAGGGGTCAGTTGGAAGGGGAATGACTGGGTATTTACTGGAATAGATTCCTGTTTCTGGAGAGTACCATCGAGGGAACGTTTGGTTTAAGGTGTCTACGGCCGTAAGTTTCTGCATCTGATTCTCAGCCTCACTGTTACTATTCGTCCCAAATGAATGTTTGAAGGATGTTGCCGCCAATTACTCTCTTATGAATACCCCCACCGTCAAAACCTATGCATTTGTTATGGTGCTGTACGATCTCTTATTTTTGCTATATTTTAATTTTATTTTGGACATATTACTATTTAGTTAATTAGTTCATGATTTGTTATATAGGTAACTACATTTTTTTAGTTTTCTTTTTTTTTTTTTCTTTAACTTGTAATTTTTATTAATAAGCTGGAAAAAAATTTAGTAAAAATATTAAAACTAGCGTAGACCTAGGGGTGGCCATATTACGGAACCGGAACCGTCGGTTCGAACCGGTCCGGAACCGTAACCGGAACCGGTGAGAACCGAAACCGGGCCGAACCGAAATCAGAGATTTTTGGTTCGATTCCGATTCCAAATTTCTGGAACTGGAACCGGCGGTTCCAGAGAACCGGTCGGAACCGAACTGGAACCGTCGATTCCCTGGCCGGTTCGAACCGGCGGTTCTAGCCGTTATAAACTGTCAGACCAGTTTTTTTTTTTTAAATTTTGATGTGAAATCTCTTAATTACCCCTCCCAACTTTTGGTTCGAAGTTCCGATTCCCAAATTTCTGGAACTGAACCGGGCGGTGTCAGAGAACCGGTGCGGAAACGGAACTGGGAACGTCGATGTCTGGCAGGCTAATCCGAACAGGCGGTTCTAGCCCGTTAATACAACTTGTCCAGACACCCCACCACCAGTTTTTTTTTTTTACATTTTGATGTGAAATATCTTAATTACCCCTTCCCAACAGCCATAACCGGGCTACATACAAGGCTTAGTTTCAAGGGTATTTGGAAATGAAATTTGAATTTATAACAAATCACAATCATCTTATATTTACAAATTCATTACACAAAAATCTCTCAACTCTCTCTAACTTACTCTATTCTAACAATATACGTACACTCTAACTTACTCCCTCTCTACAATATACTCACTCTACTCTATATTAATGTCCCATCTTATTCTTTCTACTCTAAATCTCTCTTATTAAGTTTATTAATCTCTCTAATTTTTTTTATACCCTCAAATTTTCCAATTATTATCTTATTATATATATGGCAAGTGGAGGAAACTCAAATTCGGCGTAACAGAGGCAAGGAAACCGATTGGCAGAAACACACACCGATATTCGATCTTATCCTACAAATGACAATCTTTATGATTTCACCCTAACGCATTTTAATTTGAGGGATTCCAAATGAAAAATTTTTGGAAAATTCCAACTCAAGAATCTAAATTTTAATGAGGCATTACATAGAAGAGGAAAGAGCACAAGAGCAAGAGGCAAACGAGTACAGAATTAGTCTGGACAGACGCAACGAACAAAGTTCCAGCACATAATTCGCATTATTCGCCATTCATTTTACGAAAAAATTCATAAGGTGACAAAATGTTCGATGTAATTTCCAATTATTGTGGAAAATCTTATAAATTTAAACAATCGGGTAGCTATGGATCATTTTGGAAGCATTTGGAGACAAAACATCCAACAAAATAGGAGTTGATCGGTCTCAAACACAAATTTCTGGGTACGCATCATCTAACATTTCTTTATTTTAATATTCTAAAAAAAATAAAAAGAAGAATTAGCAAAAATGATTTCTATAGAACATTTATCTTTTAATTTTGGTGAAAAAGTAGGTTTTAATCAATATTGTTTGGTGAAAAAGTAGCTTTTAAAATTCAATTGTCAAAACTTAATCCCTTCTGCTAAAAGAAGTACACAAGAAATATTATAAACACGAACCTACTTATTCTCTTATAAATAATAAAGAACAAAAGAGTCAAAGCTTTCTCATATTTCTCAAATGAAAAATCTCCGTCGTTTCAATTTGTTTGTGATATTTGGAGTGGATGCATGTGCAAATGCATCTTATATGGTATTACATTGTCATTGGGATTGAATGATGAATTTTGGAATATTCCAAAAGAAAATTATTGCTTTTTTCGTGTTTTTGATTGATAAACATACTGCAACTAATAATTTAAGAATAATGATTTTCATTTTAAGATGAATATAAAGGTTGACAAAAAAAAAAAAAATATTTTTCACTTTCCATTAATAAGCTTCTGCAATACTGAAATCATTATTGAACTTAAAAATATTTGTGACCAAATATTGGTGAACAAAGTTTTTCATATAAGATGTGCAATCGCCATAGTTTTAAATTTTATGTGTTACAAGATGGTTTAAAATCGTGAATCTTTTATTTCTCCAATTAAAAAAGCCTTTCATATTCCAATGGGGAATCCCCAAGTGATGAAAGTTGTGGGCTTAATTTTGTTAAAAGAAAATATAAAAGAACCAAAAACGTTTCCAAGGGATGTCCCAACTCGTGTGAATTCAATTATAAAATGAAGTTAAACTACTAAACGAGTCTTTTCTTATAAAGAATTATTATGCTTTTTTGTACTAATAATATTGAAGGATATTAATTAATTATCCACAAAATTGGGATAGTTTGTGCAAAAATTTTTAGATATTTTAAAAATTTTTAATTGATGCTACCTATAAATTTAGTGGGTTTTATTATCCACAATCTCTTTGAATTTTTTACCTATATTAATTTAATTTGTAGTGCACTCAAGAATTTGAAAATGATGAATTTATTAAAGCTTGTATTTTTTCATGAAAAAAGAAATAGTTATCTTTATTTAACAATATACCCATCCTCTTATCTGTGCTATTAGTAAATTTGATCTAGATGTAAAAATTGAATGTTTTATGTGATTATTTGACTTTATTTATAAAAGTATTAAAGTTGAATGTAGAAGGATAATGTTTTTAATTAGAATGTAGTAATGCATGAAGTTAAACAAAACTATTATGCAATTATATAATGATTTGTTCAAGTTTCTAGTTCATATACTTCTACTTCTTTTCAATCTAATATTCAACAATTTCCAACACAAAGGGTAGTGGTGTTGGTCGTTGCTCACAAAGTTTTTACTACAAGACAAAAAGAAACAAGGAATCAGTCTTTTCTGAATTGAAAATATCTTAACACTTCTTTTGAGTTTGGTGATATTATGCAGATACTGATTTTCCAATTTTAGAATGGTGGAGTCGTCCACGCAAGATTATTTTTTCTATTCTTTTTTAATTGCAAAACAAGTCTTAGCAGCTCCGCTCTCCCACTGTTGGGTGAACAAGCTTTTTAGTCAAGGAGGAAACATACTGATAAACACGAATCTCGTATGACACCCGATTTCATTAGAAAGCACAATCATAGGCGTGGATGATTGACCAAGACCGAACTAAGAGCCAACTTGAGAATCAAAAGAAAAATGAAGATTTTATATGAATTTCTACGCTGGTTCCTCACGGGATAATCAACTCAGTGGTGCGCAAATAAGTGATTAAAAGGTAGAAGGGGTGAATTTGGGTATACCGGTAGTAAGAACTACATGGCCTTTGATTCCTTCTATAACCCAAGAGGATAACAGGCAACTTTTTTTTTTTTTTAAAAAAAAAATAAGTTCAAGCCTTATTTTTTTTTTTTAAATTATGTTCAACTTTTTTAAACAAAATTAATTCAGTTTGACAATTTTTTTTAAAAAATAATTATGTTCAAGTCTTTAAAAAAAATTACATTTTAATTGAAGTATTTTTTAATTTTTTTTAGGTGTATTTTTTAATTTTTATGTCAACATGATAATTTTTTTTAAAATTCGGTTTCAAATTTTTAAATCGGTCTTCAAAATTTAAAATTTAAAATTATGCGATTCGCCGGAAAACCAATCGGAACCGTCGGTTTTATCACCGGACGGAACCGGAACTAGAACCAAAACCGGACCTTTTCGGTTCGGTTCTGGTTCCAATTTTTCTGGAACTGGAACCACCGGTTCCGGAACCGTGGCCACCCCTACGTAGATCAATAGGTCTACTCATACACGTGAGCCTAAAATATAAATGCTAAGTGACAAAATTTAGAACAAAAACATCAAAACCTAAAATATTATTAAAAAAAAAAAATGAGGAAGATCTCTCCAAATTATAGGACAAGTAACCTTAACTAAGAAATAGATCACCATTTCTTTCAATTATTTTCATAATTTCAGTTTGAAACTAGGAATTGCAATTAGCAACTGAAATGGGTTTAATACAACCTGAAAAGTGCTAGTTCCTAGCCGAGCCAATACTTTCCATCGATAGAGCAAAAAGGTATGATCTATAGGTGGTTCTTGGAGTCAATTTTTCAGCATTTTAAATTTTGGTACTTAAGTGGGAATTTGTTGAAATTACATAATTAATCAGCTTATTTTAATACCAAAATATATAAAGAATTGCATGAGAGTTGTCATCTTATCTTATTCACAAGCAAAAATCAACTTAGGTTTGTACGTACAAATGACAAAAGCTTTGGCCAAGGTTTTATTGTATTTATAAGTGCATGCAAAGTTAGAGACCAAAGCATTACCAGGATACAAAGAAGAATTCAACGTATTAATTATTAATCTGCCTAATGCACTTGAAGCAAAATTTATTTTTTGTTTTTTTTTTTTGAATTCAACACTAGATTTAAGTGATTTTACAAGATCACCAATGATCCACATCTCAATTCACTTAATTGTGTTTGATTGATATCAAAGAGATTTTGTTGATTGATGTATTTTCTCTCTTCTTCTCTATCATTAAGAGATTTTTGTTTCTTTTTGTTTTACATAATATTTCTCAAAAAAATAAAATTTAATAGTTTTTTTAAGTAATGGGAAGTTATATTCCCTCAAAATAGCTTACTTATCCGAATAATTATAGTATTATAACCATTAGATAAATCCCCTCGAGGCCCACATCAACTAGAAGATAAGACTTCCTTCCTTACGGTGGAACCATTCACTTTAAAGGAAGAAGGGATGGTTCAGATCGATCTATCATGGCGTCCCAACTCGATCCAACTTTTAATATCTCCCACTGGCATATGATAAGCAAGACCCGAAACTTAAAATCTTTGTAATTACTAATCAAACCACAATTTCATACTTTGTGATAGGTCGTGTGACCTAGTGAGTAAACCTGCACTTCGAGAGCCAAATACTATGTATATGTTAGGAGTAAAATAGTAGCTTCAATGTAATACCCTCAATTTGACAACTTTGTAAATTCTAATTATCGTGTTAATTAATATTATCTGGAAAGCTAGAATAATAAGGGTTACCTTTGTTTTAACATGTAGAACTATTAATTGGAAGTTATAATGCAAATTAAAAAGATAAGTTATGTCATGAGAATCAAATTAGAGGAAAGTTAAACGAGTTTAAGCTTTAACAATGAGAAGCTAGCACGTGAAGCTCCTTAAGCTAGCACTTTGATTTATCATTTAATGGATTGATTATTAAACACCTAAGAGATATGATTAAGGTTTTTTAATGGATTGATTATTAAACACCTAAGAGATATGATTAAGGTTTAATTAGGACTAAACTAAAGTAATCAAAAATATTTAGGTGCAATTGTATGAAAAGCGAACTAAAGGAAGGATTAAGGTGTTAAAAGGCAACTAAAGGATATGAAAGGAATTACCATGAAAGTCTTTGATTGTCACCTATTTATAATGAGTCATAAGGCATCTCTTGCTCATTTTTGATCATCTATGGTCAAGCTCCATGAAAAGAGAGAGAGAAAACTCTTAAGAACAAGCTAAAGGTGCATGAAAATTTAGGAATTTTCAAGTGATTCATAAGGAAAGGTTAGTTATTTTCTCTTCCTCTTTCTTCCTCTTTCTTTTTCATGGTTTAATTTTTGATTTCCATGAACTATGGTATGAGTTGGTTGCTTATTGTTGCTGGCTTTGGTGACAATGAAGTGATTAAAAGTACTTTTAAGGTGATTTAAAGTGGTTGAGGATGGTTAAGCATGAATTTGATGTCAAGTTGCATAATTGACCAACTCGGATAATTTAGTCATTTGATTGATAATCTATGGATAGGTATTCTGATATATGAAAAGTGATTATGTTATTTAAGTTTTAGAAGAGTTGTTATGCATGAATTAGTGGTGAAGCTAAGTTAAGAATGCCTAAGGAGATAAAAAGTATGCTTAAGTCTATTACAATTATGCATTCTGAAATTCAGTCACTAAGATGGACTTGGTTAAATATGTAAATGAACTCCAAAAATTATGATATTTTACAAAAAAATATTTTAGGATGTTGGGAAGGCTGTGGTGAAAGGGCTAGTGCAATAAATGAAGAGTAATGGATTTATAGTAAAATGAATGTAGGCTGCTCAGTGGAAAATCTGTCTGAAAATTAGGTATTGTGTTTAGGTTATTTGGCTATGCAAATGAGCCCCAAAATTCATGAAATTTTATATGAGAGTAGCCTGAGATGTGAGAAAGATGCTGTTGAAATTTCAGGAGAAATTGATTCAATAAACTAGAGATATAGCCAAAGGAAAGCAGACTAGTCATATGATGGAAACCTTGTATTCCATTAGTTTGTAAAGAGTTTAACATACTTTTAATATGTTATTAGGTCCCATTATTTTAGTTGTTATTTTTATGTTTCTAGAATGAGATTAAGTATTAGAAATGAAGTAGTTTATGCCTAAAATAAGGACGAATGGTACTTGGCGAATGGTACTTGTCAAGCATAGAGAATTAAAGGAAAAGCATGAATACTACATTCAATACTTGATTTACATTCCTTCAAGCATAGAGAAATTAAAGGAAAAGCATGAATACTACATTCAATACTTGATTTACATTCCTATGATAGTATGTGTGTGTTTATTGAGTAGTATGGAGTTAATATGAATATTAATTTCATGCTACAGTATCTGAGAGGAAGAAATTGGAAGATAAGTCAATAAGTAGAGGAGTAAGGCAAGAAGAGCCTTCCAATTTATAAGTCAATTTATGAGCAGAATGTGAAAATGAGCCATGAAAATAATCTAGAACCGAACTTTCAATTCCAGATTTGTTAGAAACGCAATCACCATTATGATTTTTCAAAGCATGAATTTATTATTATAGCATCTATTTTTAATGGAAGCATGAAAGTACTTACTGGATAGGACTATCAAATCTAAAAAGAGTTGAAGCAGCATTCAAAAAAAGATGTTGATGTTTGTAAAAGGATAGAACTGTGATCACTTACTGGAGCAACAAGGGTCTTACAAATATAGTCCAGACACAATTTGATAAAAGAGGATGTAGCCAAACCTCAGTCAAGATGTTCTCGACAAATAACAAGAACATGCTGCCTCTTCTCCCAAGTAAATAAATTACCAACATAGGGAACCTGCAAAAGTTGACAATCGAAAATTACTTCCTGGAACCCACGAATAAGATAATAAGGCCCATCAGAATTACTACTCTTTTCATCTGTCGATAATATGTCAATGAAATCTCCAAAACATAACCATGGCAAAAAATCTCTATTAGCAAGAGCTCGCATCATATTCCATGAACTACGGTGCCGATTACTTTTCGGATTCCCATAAATACGAGTAAGGCAAATATTATTACCATCCACAGAAACATAACAATCAATAAAATTTGGGGCATATCGAATCATGTTGAGATGTGATTCAAAGATTGACCGGTACTTTTTGAGGAGTTTGTTAGTAGTTTCTAAAAACTTGTGAATTTTTTTTTTGGTCGATTTCTTAAGTAGGATCTGCTGCTAATAAATCTCTGATAAGCTTAGTGGATTTCTGAGATTTTTTATTTTTAGTTATAGTGTAAGCCTATATATATAGGCACATCATAACTATTTTTGAAGTTGTTAGTCAAGAAGTAACAAATCATCTGCAGCTTTAATCTCATTTTCTCTTCCTGCTATCCTTTTTTAATATCTTTTCCTAACAAATTTGGCATCAGAGCCTGGTTGGTCCATTTGGACTATTGAGTGAAAAGTGAGGCTTGGGTCCGTTGGGTATTGAGTGAATACTTCTTTTGGGTACTAAAGGAAACACGAGAGTGAGTTTTTGTTTTACGAAAATGGCAATAGCTGGTTTTTCTTCCTCTGCACCACTCATACCAATTTTCAATGTTGAGAAATATGATTAGTGGAGCATCAAAGGTGAAGATCTTGCTTAGATAGCAGGAGCTATGGGACTTAGTGGAGTATGGATTTGTTGATTTACTAGAACCCACAACAAAAGAAGAGGAAAGGCTGAGAGAAACCAAGAAGAAGGATGCCAAAGCTTTATTCATCCTTCAATAAGCAGTTCATAAGACTATTTTTTCATGAATTGCAGCAGCAACCACATCAAAGCAAGCATGTTCAATTCTGCAGAAGGAGTTTCAAGGTCATAATGGTGAGATTGCAATCTCTAAGACATGATTTTGAAACTTTGCTTATGACGAATGGTGAATCGATTGCTTGTTTTGTCAAGAGCAATGGCAATAGTCAATCAAATGCATGCCTATGGTGAGCAAATTTCAAATGAGACAATTGTTGCAAAGATGTTGAGAAGTTTAACTCTGAAGTTTGACCTTGTGGTGGCCGCTATAGAAGAAGCTAAAGATCTATCAGTACTCTCTGTTGATGAACTAATGGGCTCCCTTCAAGCTCACGAGTCAAGAATCAATAGATCATCAGAAAAGAACGAAGAAAAGGCACTTCAAGTGAAGGAGACAGCCACCAACCAAGGGGAAAATGTTCGTGCAAGTAGAGGTCGGGGAAGAGGAGGATTTCGCGGTAGTCGTGGTCATGGTAACAGTAGAGGTAGAGGGAGAAATGATGGAAAAAGGCAGTTCAATTAGCAAAGTAACATGAGGAATGGCATTCAATGTTACCATTGCAAAGGATATGGGCATATAAAAACTGTTTGTGGTATAAAGATTAGCAAATGAACTTTACAGTAAAAAATGAAGAAGAAGAAGAAGAAAGGCTTTTTATGGCTTGTATTGATAGTAACCCGAAACCAAGTGATTTGTGGTTCGTTGATAGTGGCTACTTGAACCATATGACAGGCACCAAATCTTTATCCCAGGAGCTTGATGAGACGCAAATAATAAAGGTGCAACTTGGCAATATAAAAGAGATGCAAGTTGAAGGAAAATGCATGGTGAAAGTTGAAACTGAAAGTTGAAACCAGTCATGGTAAGGTAAAGCTATTGAATAATGTTCAATTTGTTCCTGATTTAGGATACAATTTATTGAGTGTTGGACAATTGATGGCTGGAGGGCATTCCATTCTATTTGATGACAACACATGTGTCATTACAAATAAGAAATTGAGCCGGAGAGTTCAGATTCCCATGACTTTAAATAAGATGTTTCCATTGGATGTTTCTAACATGGAGAACTTTGCTCTTGCTGCTAATGCAAAAGATGACTCGATGCTATGGCATTTGAGATATGGGCATCTTCATATGAAGGGCCTGAAGTTACTCAGTGATAAAGGTATGGTTTCTGGATTACCAAAAATTGATTCAATTAATTTGTGTGAAGGATGCATTCATAGCAAGCAAACTAGAAAGTCTTTTCCTATTGGAAAAGCTTGGAGAACTTCAAATTGTCTAGAACTAATTCATGCTATTTATGTGGGCCAATGCAAACTGAGTCCTTGGGTGGGAGTCGTTATTGTTACTATTTACTAATGAGTACAGTCGCATGAGCTGGATTTACTTTCTAAAACACAAGTCAGGAACTTTTGAGAAGTTCCAAAGTTTTAAAGCTATAATGGAGAACCAAAATGGCTGCCACATCAAACTTCTTCGCACAGATGGAGGTGGAGATCCGTATCTAAAGAATTCAATTTGTTTTGTGAAGAAAATGTCATCCAAAGGGAGTTAACAGCTCCTTACACTCCAGAACAAAATGGCATTGCTGAACGAAAAAATCAAACTGTTGTGGAGATGGCTAGAAGCATGTTACAAGCAAGGAGACTTGCAAACCAATTTTGGGCAGAAGCTGTAGCAACATTTGTCTATTTATTAAATCTCTCATCAAGAAAGGTTGTCATGAATCGAACTCCTTATAAAGCATGGCATGGAAGGAAACCATCTGTAAGTCATTTACGAGTCTTTAGGTGTGTTGCTTATGCTTTGATAAATTCTTAAATTCGTCAAAAGCTTAATGAAAAATCTGAAAAATTCATTTTCATTGGTTATTGTACTCAATCAAAAGCATATAAATTGTATAACCCTCTTAATGAAAATATTTCAGTTAAAAAGGATGTAATATTTGATGAAAATGTAAGTTGGGATTGGGGTAAAGAGCAGGAGTAGCAAGAGATTCCAATTTAAGTTTCCCAGATGAAAAAATAAGAGTCAACTCCTGTGCACCTACTAGTGCCTCTACAGCAACACAAAATTTGTCAAACTCGTCAACTTCAGCATCACCAAATAGCAACTCTTCTCTTGAAGAATCTTCAGATGTCCTGTGCACCCTACTAGTGCCTCTACAGCAACACAAAATTTTGTCCAAACTCGTCAACTTTCAGCATCACCAAATAGCAACTCAACTCTTCTCTTGAAGAATCTTCAGATGAGACACCGCTAAGGAAGTATAAATCTTTGGCCGACATATATGCATCTTGTCAATTTGCTCTTACTATTTCAGACCCTATATGTTATGAAGAAGCAATTGAAAAAGAAGAGTGGTAGAAAGCCATGGTGGAAGAGATGCAAGCAATTGAGAAGAATGGAACATAGGAAATGGTTGACTTACCGGATGGCAAAAATGCAATTAACTTGAAGTGGGTTCAAGACAAAATTTGCAGCAGATGGAAGCATATAGAAGCACAAAGCTCGTCTTGTGGCAAAAGGGTATGCCAACAAGAAGGTGTGGATTTCGAAGAAACTTTCTCTCCAGTAGCTCACTTTGAAACTATAAGAATTGTTCTAACATTGGTAGCAAAATTGCGGTGGCCTATTTATCAATTTGACGTCAAGTCAGCGTTCCTCAATGGAGATTTACAAGAAGAGGTCTACGTAGCACGGCTAAGGAGATTTACAAGAAGAGGTCTACGTAGCACGGCTAAAGGGATTCATAAAGAAAGCCAAAGAAGCAGAGGTGCACAAGCTTAAAAAGCCATTGTACGGGTTGAAGCTGGCCCCTTGAGCTTGGTATACAAGATTGATGGGTATTTTCAAGAAAAAGGATACATGAAAAGTGAGAATGAGCCCACTTTGTATGTGAAGAAGGAAGGTAAAAGTGATTTCATCATTATCTGCCTTTATGTTGATGATATCATTTATACTGTCTCTTCTAATTCTCTTGTGGATAAATTTAAGTCTCAAATGCTGAGTGAATTTGAGATGTCAGATATGGTTTATTGCACTATTTTCTTGGTCTTGGAGTATATCAAGTTGAAGATGGGATCTTTATTTTGCAAATGAAATATGCTAGAGACATTATAAGTAAATTTGGCATGCTTAGTTGTAAGCCTGCAGCCACACCCATGAATATTAATGAGAAATTGCAGCATGAAGATGAAGCAGAAATGGTAGATGCTAGAAGGTTTAGAAGCTTGGTTGGCGGATTGATTTACTTGACGCACACATGACCCGACATTGCATTTCTTGTTGGTGTTATTACCAGGATTATGCAATAGCCTTCAAAGGTTCATTATAGAGCAGCAAAACGGGTCTTGTGTTATGTTGCTAGAACCATAGAATATGGAATTTGGTATTTTAAATCTTCTAATTTCAAATTATATGGGTTCACAGATGGCGATTGGGCAGGATTGTTAGATGATAGACGGAGCATTTCAGCAAATGTTTTCACTCTAGGATCAGGAGTGATCACTTGGAGCTCAAAAAAGCAAGCAACAGTGGCGCTATCAACCTCAGAAGCAGAATATGTTGCAGCAGCTTTAGCAGCATGTCAAGCCATTTAGCTAAGAAGAGTGTTAGTTGATCTTCAACAAGAGCAAAAAGGAGTGACGGAGATATTTTGTGATAACAAAGCAACTATCTCCATGACAAAGAACCTAACATTTCACAGCAGAACAAACGCATGTTGAACTTCAGCATCATTATATTTGTGACCTTGTTGCAAAGGAAGAAATTGTCTTGTCTTGAAGTATTGTAACACCAATGAACAGCTAGAGAACATACTTACCAAGGCTCTATCAAAGAAAAGTTATGCTACTTCAGAGGATTACTTTGCATCTGCAACTTTGAATCAAAGGTGTTAAAGTTACAGTTACAGCTCCATTGAAGTAAAATTGCTGCAAGTGTTGTTGACAGTTTTTGGAGAAATTTTGTTAAAGTCATTTAGATTTTGTTGTATTTTGTTGAAGTCAAGAGGCAGGTGAACTACCTTGCTTTTAGGTAGGTTTGGTGAACAACCTTCCTTGACTTATGGAAGGTTGGTGAACAAACTTTAGACTAGCTCTACTATAAAATGTTTACATTATGCTGAAAATGGAATCAATAAGAAGAGGAAATATTTTTATTTCTTTCACACTTACAAAATCTGCAGCTTTTTTTCATTTTCTGTAAGATTTCCTTCTCTTCTTAATTTTCTGCTCTTCTAAACAACAAGTGGTATCAGAGCAACTTTGATCTCAAAGGCTGTTGTTGTGGTTTGAGTGAAAATCATAGAGGAAAGCCCCAAAAAACCAGAATTTGGTGACGTTTTTCTGTTTTTGCTTTTCTGTCAAATGCTTCAGCAGCATGTTCTCTTTCACGCACTCATTTTAATGGGAAAACTATCATGTTTTTGGTCTGTGAAAGATGAGAGCTTCTTTCAAGGGGCTTGGATTATGGCAGTATGTGGAGGAAAACAGAGGTACTCCACCTCTTAATCAAAATCCAACCCTTCAGCAGATTAGACAACATGAGAAGAAGGTTGTTTTAAGGCTCCAAAAGCTTGTCCTATTATCCATGCAGCTGTTGCCAGATCCTATCTTCACAATTATGACATGTGAAGACAGCAATGAAGCTTGGGAGAAGTTAAAAATTGAGTATCATGGATCTGAAAAAACTAGACAGATGTCGATATTCAATTTATAAGAAAAGAATTTGAAATGTTGAAAATGAAGGACAATGAAAAGGTGAAAGATTACATTGATAGAGTTATGAAAATTGTAAACCAAATTCGATTGTTAGGAGAAGAGTTAGAAGAGAAGAGAATTGTGGAGAAAGTTATGGTGACTCTCCCTGAAAAATTTGAAGCTAAGATTTCTTCTCTTGAAGATACTTGGGACATGTCACAAATATCATTGAATGTGCTTTCAAATGCTCTACAAGCTGTAAAACAAAGAAAAGCCTATAGGGAAGAAGAAACCTTTGGAGAGAAGGCTCTTGTAGTGACTCAACAACCAAAAATGAAGAAGAATTTCAGAAAAATTGGAGGAAAGGCAGCAACTGACAAGAAAAACACCAAAAATGAAGAGAATTTCAAGAAAAAAATTGGAGGAAGGACAGATTTCCACCTTGTCCACAATTGCAAAAAAACAAACCACACTGAGAACTACTGCTGATATCAGACCTGGAGCTCATGTAAGGTTTGTAAGCAATTTGGTCACAATAGTACACCGAGAAAGTTGTTCTACCAACAGAATCAACAATACACAAGCCCATCATGCACAAGTCACCGAAAATTCTGAAAGTATGAAGAACAACTATTTGCTGGGTAAAATGAAATTGAAAGAATGTGGTGTCTCAAATTGAAGCTAAAGAAGCCATTTGGCTTGTTGATAAGTGGCTGCACTAACCACATGACACAACTTGGTGAAATTTCGATAGCCTTGGATACAAACTATTCTTTCAAAAGTCAGACTTGGAGATGGTAGGCTTTGTTGAATGTCAAAGGCAAAGGAGATGTGATTGTACAAAACTCTTAAGGTACAAAGCTTTGTTTCCGGATTGTTCTTTACGTACGGAAACTAAATCACAAAGCTTCGTTTTCGTTGGTCATTGCTGGAGTAAGAAATTACAGTTTTGCTATTTAAAGATAAAACTTGTACCATCCTTCCGTCCAGCCCGTAAACCCCCGAATGCACCGAGTCGAGATGGCCTAAAACTGGTTGACTGTATGTCTGACATGCTGAAAACATACGTATATTGGAATATATAACATCTGGTACTGTTCCAAAAATAATGTATTTACAAAACATGATACAAGTTTAACAAAATGAAATGGCGGGCCCAACTGTGTGCCCTTACATGCATAAAGAAAAACAAAAATGATTTCTACCCGCTGAAGACCGAGTCTTTTTCTACAGATGAACTGCAGGCAGTTTGTGGGTCTTCCAAAGATGAACTGCAGCAGTTGTAAGATGACTCTCTACGGTCCAGTCCCAAAACCTACGAGTTAAACAGGTAACTCACTGAGCAAATAAAACTCAGTGGATATCTCAACGTATAAAGAAACATGTAAGCACACACATATGTATAAATAAACATGTAAGCACACATATCATGATATTTCCATTATCGTACTTGCTGTTCATTATGCTGTATGAGTTATGCAATTTTTAGTCAATATAACTGTATGGCTCCATAGGGTTATAGTGAAACCAAAGTGATAAGAGGAACTGTATGAAACTGGGTGAATACTATATGACTGGCCTGCTATGGCCCATATATAATCATATCCACTTATGCCAATATTGGTCCATTTGGTGCCCCTAACCGGATTCGCACCGCAACCATATCCACTCAACGGCCTGTAGCCAGAGTTCCAAACTGTATGGGGCGCAGATCTGCTATTCTATGTCGCGACATAGCCTTATCTACATAGTTTCTACCCAACCTCAATGGAGCTTAATATTAACATGTCAACAATGTAACACAATAACATATAAATGGTTGCATAACTGCATAATTTATCATGTTGATTTGATTTCACATCATCTAAATGCTTACCTGTTGTTTTAATCCATGTTCTTATGTTATATTTTTGTTGTAGAATGATTGGATGCATATATGTTGAGCAAAGGAATGTAATTACATAGCAAATGAAAGGCAAAAGAATGTCACAGCTGAAGTCGCGACCGCGTATGTGAAAGTCGCGAGCGCGACTTGTGCATCCTGAGAGTCAGTATGTTTCTGGCTGAAGTCGCGACCGCGCAGCCGAGCGCACAAAGAGCAAAGCATCAGTCGCGAGCGCGACATTCCAAGTCGCGAGTGCGAGATGCTTCCCAGAGAGAAGTCGCGAGCGCGTCTTCAAACCTCGCGAGCGCAAGAAATGCATTTGAGAGTCAGAGGGTTTTCTGGCTCAAGTCGCGACCGCGCAGCACACGTCGCGAGCGCGCTTGTGTGATTCGCGAGCGCGAGATGCGCACACTGAGAGTCAGAGAGCTTCTGGCCAAAGTTGCGACCGTGCATGTGATCCTCGCGAGCGCGAGTTGTGCAATTGAGAGTCAGAGAGCTACCTGACTCAAGTCGCGAGCGCGCAATAGGAAATCGCGAAATCGCGAGCGCGACTTGCTTTCCAAGTATGCGCGAGCGCTGCGATCGTGATTCTGTGCAGTCCTGTGTTCTTTTGGCCATAACTCTCAGTATACAACTTCAAAATTGAATGATTCAAAAAGCCCATGATAAAGCTAAACAACAGAAAAGGAACAAATAAACTCTTTCTATGACAAGTCCTAAATTCCCATCAATTATATGGGTTCAAAAATCAAAGATGAAGTTGCTGGTAACATTTCCAGCAAACTCCTGTTCCCGTTCAATAAATTCCTCCCCTGTTTTTCACATCATTTTCGCCAGTACTTCCACCCAACAACAAGCAATATATCATCGTCATTGGCACACACCACACAATTTACATGCAAGGAAAATAGTAGACAACAAATGAAGATATCAAACCCTGAGTCAAAAAGGCTTGACCTCTGTTTTAAGCTTTCTCTTTTTTTGCAACTTGGAAACTTTCCTTCTCCTATAGCTACACAGATTCTCATAACTCATCTCCAATACAACTAAATAATAGAAAATAACAAATCACACTTCAAAAGGAATTCCTAGCTTACTTAGAGTGGACTTAAGTGCTTAGCGTGCAATGAAACTTGCAAGGAAACCGGGAGGGAAAGTAAAGAAGAGAAATATGAAAATGGGAAAGTGAGCTGATAAGAACGGGTAGTCCTCTAGAAGAAATGACTTGGCCCTGTGTTAACATATTCTACTTGGTACCGTTCAAGTAATACAAAAGGACAACAAACTTAATACCCACAACTGTATGTTTTGGCTGCAAACAAGGCCTAAACTTTTTTCATGCAAATAAGTCCACTTATCATCCATTATACCCCAACCAGGTTTGGTTCAAGGCGCCGACTCAACCTCAAGAGGATGTTACATCTTTAGCCTTCTTTTTCTACACTCCTTGAAAACTCCATTCACCTAATAATATAAGAATTCTTATGAAATTCCTAATATAATAACACCAAAAATGAATTCAAATTATGAGAACTTCAAGAAGGTTTACTTACTTGGGAAGGTAGAAGAAAAATTGGCAGTTAAGGCCTTACTAACGCATTAAAGATGGAAAGGAGGTTTGGAAGAGGAAAGGAAGAAGAATGAAGATAAACATGAAAATTGGGAAAGTGAAAATGGGTATTACGGGCGTAAGCTCTAAAATATCCATGGAAATTTGTGTGTAAAAAGTTCTATAAATGGTACCCTCAATTGTAAGAAGGTTACAACTGTTAACAAACCAAGCTGTATGTTTTAAGTGGCAAATAAATCCTAACCTTTATACTTTTTGATCTTTTTTCTTCTCACTCAAGTAACTCCACTTTATAAACCCATTCTACCCCAACCGGGTTTTGGTTTCAACTCGACTAACTCAAACTCTTGCCTAAGAACTCGATCGGTAAGGATGTCCACAGTTATGGGACGTGACTTTAATCAAGCTTTGAATCCTAATTCAGCGTTAAGAGAGTCCTATTGGGAAGAAATACAAAATTTAAACAACACTTATAAACCCATTCTACCCCAACCGGGTTTGGTTCAACTCGACTACTCAACTCTATGCTAAGACTCGACTCGGTAGGATGTCACAGTTATGGGACGTGACTTATCAAGCTTGAATCCTATTCAGACGTTAAGAGAGTCCTAATTGGGAAGAAATACAAAATTTAAACAACTTTCCATCTCCAAAAGATTTCTTATTCAATAAAGATTTCTTCCTCAATAAAGATTCATTTTCCTAAACGAATTTGAAGATATTTCAAAAAGTCTATATAAAGAGAGAGACATGCATTGTATATTCGATCTTTTTTTATTGCTCTTTACATAGTTTTTCTCTCTTTAAGACTTTAAGTATTCAAGTTGGTGTCAAGATTCAAGGAAACCGCTCAAGTCAATCGTTGATTAGCTTTTATTTTTAAACTCTCTTCTTGTTTATTATTCATTATGGGATTATTTAGAAGTTTAATTAAGTTTAATTTATCTACTATGTCGAACTAAATCCTTTTATTAGGGATATGACGTAACTTGACTTCAATTCCAGTTTATAATATTAGATTTGATTTTCTTTATTCAAGTAAAATTTATTATTGATCTTAATGCTTTCAGATAAAGTTTCTCCTCTGGATTGATTTATTTCATTAATTACTGTCTAAAGAAGGGTTTTTGAGATGAACAGGGTAGTAAATTTCAAGGAAATAATAATTTGATGCGAGAGTTAGATGGTTTGACTTGTGAGAGGTTTTCATAAAATTAAAGGCCTTAATTTGCAGATTCCTGAATAATCACAAGAACTTAATTATTTAATCTATGTTTGGTTGCACCATTGAGAGATGGATAATTGAATTTGGTTAAAATAATTAATAAAACATTAAGAGAGCTTATTACCAATTTTAGAGTTATTTCTCCTTCTTGAAAAATTAAAATTGATAATCAAATTAATAGGATAAATTGGATAGAATTAAATGACTTATCTCTAGTAACCTTTAAACCTTAATTTCTTTTCAACAATTACTTTCTTAATTTCTTTCTCATTGCTTTATTTTATTTCTTTTACTTTAAAATTAATTCTCTTTATGGTCGTTTAAATAATAATAGGTTAATAAAATTTTGATCTTTGATATACAATACCCGTGGAAATGATACTCTACTCATTCTTTATTACTTATTTGTAATTTCGTCCACTTGCGAATTTGCGCTGTCATTCATTGCATTTTTAACCTTCTGTAAAGTCTTGTCTTAGTGCATGAATGAATGTCTTGCCCTAGTGCATGAGTGAATGAGAGTTATGGCAGCTATTGAAAATGATTCTGAACATGAGATGAAAAATAGTATGCATCAGTGGCACTGTCTAATGATGAAGAGACTAAGATATCGCTAAACTCCCCTACTCTTACTATACCACCATCGGATTATAAACTATGTTTGGTTAGTAGGCTCCTAACTTATCAAAAAGTGAATTTTGGAGCAACAAAGGCCTCCTTTGTCACCCTATGGAGACCTGGACGTGGAATCTGCATCACTGAGATCGCTCCAAAAGTATTTTCAATTTTTCCACTCAGTTGATGTTAAT